ACAGAGTTTCATTCTTGTTACCCAGGTTGGAGTGCAATGGCGCAATCTCGGCTCACCGCAACCTCCGCCTCCTGGGTTCAGGCAATTCTCCTGCCTCAGCCTCCTGAGTAGCTGGGATTACAGGCACGCGCCACCATGCCCAGCTCATTTTTTGTATTTTTAGTAGAGACGGGGTTTCACCATGTTGACCAGGATGGTCTCAATCTCCTGACCTCGTGATCCACCCACCTCGGCCTCCCAAAGTGCTGGGATTACAGGCTTGAGCCACCGCGCCCGGCCGATGATACCATTTTCTATAGCGATGATCTTAACGACTCTTAGTAACTACTGAACGATTAAAAGGACTCAGTCAAATTTCAGGCTATGCTACGGACTGAATGTTTATGGCCCTGTCCCCCACATGTACATGTTAAAGCCTTATCTCCAGTGTGATAATATTTGAAGGTGGAGCCTTTGGGAGATAATCAGGTAGTGAGGTTGAGCCCCTGTAGATGGGATTAGTGCTCTTATAAGAGGTGGCCAGAGAGCTAGCTCTCTCTCTGCTCTCCACCATGTGAGCTTACAATGAGAAGACAGCCATTTGGAACCAGAAAGAGGGCCTATCCCAGGGAACGAAATTGGCCTATACTTTTTATCTTGGACTTTCCAGCCTCCAGAACTGTGAGAAATAAATATTTATTGTTTCAGCCACTCAAAAAAGAAAAAGAAAAAGAAAAGACAAAATTAGCTGGGTGTGATGGTATACACCTGTAATCCCAGCTACTCGGGAGGCTGAGGCAAGAGTCGCTTAAACCCAGGAGGCAGGGGCTGCACTGAGCTAAGATCACACCACTGCACTGCGGCCTGGGCAACAGAGTGGGACTGTGTCTCAGAAAAAGAAAAAACAAAAACAACAGAACACTCTTAAGAAGAGGTAGGAGAGGTGGAGATTTTAGAAGGGAGTGATCACGCCACAGGGAGGGCAGAGCGAAGGCTGTGGACGTGAATTCCAGCTTCCTCACTATCCGCTGTGGTCCTCAGGCACCTGACTCTCCCCTCTCAGTCCATCTCAGGAAAACCTGAGATGAGGAACGATGACTACCTGCCTTATCTGCCTTGCAGGGCAGCTTCCTAGAAGTTATGATGTCATTATCATTAGTCTGGCTGCCTAACCCGGCCAAGTCCCAGTCTTTCCTCACTGTGTTAAGTTTCTGGCTCCTTGCCCAAGCTGGGTACAATGTCCCGTACAACGGGGAAGCCTGATAAACACGATGTGATATCCCTGGATGCAGCTACACACCTCCAGGACAACTCTGACCACCCAGCAGCCAAGTCCCAGCCTGACGTCGCCCTGGGGGAGTGGAGCTGCAGAGTGCACACAGGTCTTGCTAGGACAAAGACAGGCTGGAATGAAAAAAAAAAATCAGCCATAGGTGGCCCAATTTGTATAAGCTGATCCAGGGCACTGCCTCTCTGAGTTACATAAAACACAAGATGCAAGAAACCAACCACTTGGAAAAGGGGCATGGTGTCCAGCATGAAATGGATTCCAGCTGGGACAACAGGCGCCCAACTTCCACTTAAGGATACGGGGCAAAGCTGTTTCCGGCTACAGCCATGGCTATTCTTGCCCCAAGCCAGGAAATACCCTGGTTTGGCATCTTGAACAGAACTTGGACTGTGCCCAAAGCATCCTCCTTATGCAGCCCTGAGTCCTGTGTGCCGCTTTCACTTCTGTTCCCAGACTATCACAACTTCTGGCTGTTTTAATTTCTAAGACTTTGCTGGATTTTGCCAAGATCAAACTCCTTTGATGGTGTCTGGCTTCTGATCCCAGAGGTCCCCTGACAGCTCTCTCTTGTAAAGAGCTGAAAACCTATCAAAGCGAAGTGGCTCACACCTGTAATCGAGGCTGAGGCGGGTGGATTACTTGAGGTCAGGAGTTCGAGACCAGTCTGGCAACATGGTGAAACCCTGTCTCTACTAAAAATACAAAAAAACTAGCCAGGCATGGTGGTGCACACCTGTAGTCCCAGCTACTTGGGAGGCTGAGGCAGGAGAATCGCTGGAACCGGGAGGTGGAGGTTGCAGTGAGCCGAGGTTGTGCCACTGCACTCCAACCTGGGTGATACAGCGAGACTCCATCTCAAAGAAAAAGGAAGTGAAAACCTATCAGATAGCGTTCCAATCTGCTCCTAGTCCCACTGGACACTAGACACACATGGGGTGTCTGGCCAAGATGTGACCAAGCCATTACCTACCAGCAAACCCAGGTAGGGAATCAAAACGGGGAGGAAAATTGGATCCGAAAGGGACAACAGTTCCTAAGAGCACACAGCAGAGATCACGGACACATACTCCACACACCATTGCCCACAGGGTGATTGTAGAACATGAGTAGTAAAAGGCCACTGGAGGCCTCTACACTTCCCTATTTGACAGGAAGCCAGGCAGCCTGCAGACCAGGATCCTGACCACGTCACCAGCTGGCAACAGGGAGGAACCCCCTGGAGCTCCCATCTGCCCAGAGTCCCTGCCCGGGGTTACCTTGGTGCTCTGCTTCTCCTTCATAATGATCCGGGACAGGAGGACCACCCAGATGGGCATGGTGGCCTTGACTGCAAAGAAAGGGAAGGGCACTCAGGGGGCTGCCTGAGTTCCAGGGCCCAACCTGTTCCACCTCCACGGCGGGATGGGAGGGCTTGGCAGCCCCTGACCTCGTCACCCCTTACCTTTCAGTAGGTAGAGAAAGCTCTCTTCTCAGCCCCTTTTCTCCCTGAGAACCCTGTGCGTGTCCCTCCCCTAGCAAAATCCTTGGCAGCCCCTGTGCTGACTACTGAGCCCGGCAGGACGCCCCCGGCCCGGCGCACTCCTGTCCATGCGCCCAAACCCCAAGCGGCGCGCCCGGGCCGCCGCCCCTCAGGCCGGACGCGGAACCTACCGGTGTGTGCATAGGACACGGGCACCTTCCAGATGCTGACATGCGCTGATACAGATGCGAAGTACTTGCCGAAAGCAAGCGGCAGCACGTAGCGCGGGTAGAAGCGCGGCGGCAGGAGCGGGCCGGGAGACGGATGCGGACTGGGCCCGGGGCCTGAGACGGGCGGCGCGGGGGGCACGCGCCAGGCGCGCAGCAGCGGCGGGAGCCCCGCGCACAGCGCCAGGATGTGGCACAGCGACACGGTCACCGGGAACGGGAAGGCGCTCAGAATCACCTTGTTGACCACGTTGCCGCCCGCGCTCAGCGCGTACCACAACAGGCACAGCGCCGCCACCCGCGCGCCCTCGCGCGCCCCGCCACCGCCGCTCGCTGCAGCCGGGCCCCCGGCACCGGGGCCCGAGCCCACCGCAGCCACCGCCATCCTGTCCGAGCAGCCGCCTCTTCCCGCCGGTCCGACTGCCCGACGCCGGGCGGGGGCGGGGCTGGGCAGGGGCGGGCGCTCCGGTCTACGCCGCTTTCCATTGGTTGCTGACTCTTACGTCATCCCCCCGCGCCGGTCGACGCTCCAGCCACCACGTCTCGAGTGCAGGCCCCGCCCACTGTAGATGCGCTTCCGGCAAGGGCGGAGCCGAGGCCGGAAGCGGAAGAAGGGGACGCAGACCGGGATCCAAGCTGTGCCACCCGAGACGTGGGCGGTCCCGGTGACCCGGAGCCAGAGCTCGAGCGGGACTGGCGAGCAGAAGTGAGGAGGGCTTCGCCTCGTCGGCGTCTGTGCGTGGGTCAAACATCAGGGCCTCGACAAGGGGTACATGGGCACCCCCTCACTGGATTCCTGATTCCTAGTGGCTGGCGGCGGCGGACACCTAAGGTAAAAGAACTTTTGGGGAAAGAAACCAGATGTGAAAAGCTCTTGGGCTAAACTCGCTCTGCAAACTGGGGGCGCACGCCCGTGGCCAACTCTGGCAGTGGGACTATCCCGGAGCGCCTGGTCCCTGAAATCGTGTTCTGGAAACCACCGCGACGTGCGCAGTTCTCGGGCCTGGCCCTGGTATCATTCCACTGAATCCTAGGAAGGCCGTGCGGTAGGTATCACTATCCCCATTTCACAGACCGAAGTCCAGAATGGGAAAGCTACTTGTCTTAGGCTCCCCTGCCACTCGGGACCGTGGCCATGACAGCGTCCTTGGACACCTGTCTCCAAGGCTCTGCAGAAGGAGAAGGTGCCAAGCCCTGATCCCTGATGCCCAAGGACCAAGAGGGATGGACCAGCCCCTGGCCCCAGTGGAGGAAAACAAGTCGAGGTTTTCAGGAAGATGAACTTATATTAATTCAAGGACAATAATTTGTTCCCCAAATCGTGCGCCTCCAACTTTTTCGGGGAGAGGGTGTTAAAATGTCGTTATAGTGTTTTTACTTGTCAAATTAGAAGCAGTAACCTTGGGCAGGGCGACTCAAGCTTGTAATCCCAGCACTTGGGGAGGCCAAGGGGGGCGGATTGCTTGAGCTCAGATGTTGGAGATCAGCCTGAGCAACATGGCAAAACCTTGTCTTTGCAAAAAACACCAAAATTAGCCACGCGTGGTGGTGCATGCCTGTGGTCCCCACTCCTAGGGAGGCTGAGGCTGGTTTGATCCCAGGTCAAGGCTGCAGTGAGCTATAACGGCGCCACTGCACTCCAGCCTGGGTGACAGGTCTCAAAGAAGAAAGCAGCATCCCGACTTGGTCCCCCAAATGTAGGGTATCTTAGCTTATCCTTGCCTTCTCAAAGGTAGGCAACATTAGTGCCCTAGGCCCTCCTGGATACATGGAGACAGGTGTGGTAGTCCCTGCAGGCAGGGGCTGGGGGAGCTGCGGCACATCCCAAAGTTTGAGAGATGCCGGTAGGAAGCCAAGCTCTGCACCCTAATATCCTCCAGCTGTGCCCTCTGTGTATTAGAGCAATGTCACATCCTTGGGACACCATGTATCAGCAGAGCTGTTAAACACAGGCACAGTGGTATAACTACAGGCACCCTACAGCGCAGCCGAGTGTCAGATACTTCCACTGACATGCTTTTAGTTCTTTTAACTCTGGGGTATTTTAACCCCACAAATGGGGACATGTGCACAGGAGTGAAGAGATGGTTTGGACACACAGCTAGTGGGTGGCAGCCTGGGTTCAACCTCATCCTGCCTTCAAAGCCACTTCACCCATGGCCTTTTCTTGGGGAAGGGGTGTGTTCTGGCACCAAGCTTTTGCCAGAAATCCCTGCTAGCTCTGAAACTGGCTTTGGGTTGAATGTAGTCTTACAGGCTGCAAGGAACCCTTGGTTTGCTCCATAGGGCTGTATGTCTTAAGGTGTAGCTGTTTCTTCATTTGTGAAATTAAGCAGATATAGATGACCTATTCTAAAGTGAGAAACTAGAAAACCAGTCGTAGCTTACAGTTTCAGGAATGAGGGGCAACTAGAAGATTACCTCTCTATAGCCAAGAGAGAAAATTTTTTTTGGTGTCGGCACCAACCAGCTAGTGAGGCAGCTGAGGGCTAGGGCCAAGGGGTGGGCTGCTGGACACACACATAGGTCTGAGCCTCTGGGCCATACCTTGTAAGAACTAGGTATTTTGTTGAGGTGGGTGTAGTCAGAGACCTGTGCTATGGAGCCTGCTCTCTAGGCCAGGTAACGTCTGGGTGAGACAAGATGAAAGTTCCTGAATGTGCCCCTGAATGAATAAAAGGCTCCTCCCAAATGCAGCAGCAGCTAACAGGTGGACTTCAAGGCTGTGCCCTGCCCTGCCTCCCTACATCCCAGCTGTTGGGGTCTAGGTCTTCCTGGCTAATCCACAATCCGGGAAAGGGCTATTTGGCTGTGAAGGTCCAAATGAGAAAAGATTCTCATACTGGTTTGTGCAAATGTTTTTTTTTTTATTTCCACATTTATATCACAAGGTGTCCACTTACTGGACCAAATAGCAAAGTTGCTCCCTTCTGCGTCCTGAGAACACAGAAGTCTAGGTTCTGTACATTCACTAAGGCTCCTTGTTTTTGCAAATCGCGTTTATGACAAATAACCATAAGGCAAACGAATCTAAAGGAATGGTTATGAGTGTTTCCAGCGTACAGACAGGTCTGCCCTCTCGCCCCACAGTACAGCATAAAACCAGTAGCACCCACAGTAACTTTTGTGTTGTTTAGGGGGGACTCTAGAAAGGTGAAGTTTTCTAGATGTGTACAGGAAGGGAAAAAAGGAAAGGGGGGAAGAAAGGAAAGGTTTTTTTGTCTGATGTTCTGATGGAAGAGGAGGAGTTAAACCCAAGAAAACTTAAATTTCTGCAGCATTTCTGTAAAAACTGGGTTATAACTGAAACCAGGTGGCTGCCCATGGAGTTGGGGTCACACTGGTTGGCCAGCTGGCCTGCCCGCCCAATGCCAGTGGCTCACCATAGCTGAGGAGCTTCTGGCACACGATGGACAACACTGGCCTGACAGTGGCTGGGTAGGGGCAAACAGAGGCCGCGGCATGGCCCACTGTCTCACAGACACTCAGGGCCAAATTAAAGAACAGGAAATGTAAGAGAGATGAGATGCGTGCTTCTGTTGCTGTGTTAAAGGTAACCTCTCCCACAGGTTTTCTGTGCCTGCCTGCAACTGAGGTCCCAGCTTTCAGGTGCTGGAAAGTGTCCGCACCTCTTCAGGGGTGAGGGACTAACGCTTTTTATAGCTGGTTTGCTATAGAGTTCTGAACTCACTTTGCTGTCCTTCCTTCCGCGCGGTCCTTCCTTCGCAATTTTGTTAGTAAACTGGTAGCAGCATTTCACAAAAGGAGAGTTTTGAGGGAAGGGCGCACAGAGAGACCGCGTGACTCCCGCCCCCGCCCTCCTGCCCGGGCCAGACTCCCCGAGTTCCCAGCCTCAGCTGGGCCCCAGCCACCCGCCCACCTGCCTGCCCGCCCGGCTTCTGCAAGATGGGAATGCACTTCGTGGCTGACGGGCCGGTCAGTCCAAGCAGACATAAGGCAGAATGTTCAAGCGCCCGTCGTCGCCGTGCGGATCGAGCGATATGCACTGCGTCCAGTCATACCAGTTACCCTGTGTGTCCTGACACCCGTTCACCCCTGGCCACTGGCTGGCCTGGATTCTGTTGAGATCGTCCTGTGTGACCTCCCGGGTCAGCCCAGGGAGGTCCGTGGGCGGGCTTTGAGGCACCAGCACGTGCAGCTGCCTGGCCCCTCGCCGGGTGCTCTCCTCCTGCTTCAGGTACTCAGACATGAAGTGGTGAGCCCCTGGGGTCTGTGCGCCCGACGATGAGAGCAGGCTGCTCTGCCGGCTCAGGTAGGACTGGATGATCTCATTGCGTGACAGCTCCTTCCAGTTCGTCTGTTCGAAGGGGCTCTGGAGGCTGGCCTTGGCCTCCTGCTTGTCCAGCTCTGTCCTGGACGGCTGCTCCATGTGCACAGGGCTGTCTGCCGGCACTGGCTCTTTCTGGGTCAGAGGTTTGATCTGTCTTGTCATGGGGTCAAAGGTGAGCTTCCGCTCTTTTAACCGGACAGGCTTGACGCCCGCCTCGGCCACCTGCCCGTCCAAGTTAACTGTGTAGTCTCGAGGCCGGTACCTCTTCTTCTTTTTACTGTCCGAGCCCCCAGAGGAGGCAGCGTCACTGTCCGCCTTGGAGGAGTCTGGGGAGAAGCCTGCCCGGGACAGGAGGGGCTCGGCCGGGGATAGCCCGGCCTTGCAGCCTGGCCCCGCCAGCCGCTGGTGGCTCTCAGGCTGCTCAAGCCAGCATACTGGGCTTTCCGAGCTGGACAGCAGCTCGAGCCGCCGCACAGGGGGTGTGGACGGCTGTGCCAGTGGAAGCGGTGACGGCACCTGTGTGGCATCAAGTGCCTGGGGCCGTGGTGAGGGGCTGGGCACAGAGCCCTTAGGTGCATATAAATTCTGCTGCCGGGCGAAGGAGCCCTCATGCCGTGAGTTCCGAGGACTGAAAGAGCAGCGAGGGGGCCCCTTGGGGTGGGGAGGCCCTGGAGTCTCGTCCACCCTGTCCAACTGCTGCAGCACCGAAGCCTTTGCCTGCAAGCAGGGCCCAGGGGGTTTGCTCAGGCCTGGGGAGCTGGTGTGCGGTCGCACGGCGTTGATGGGGATCTTGCCACTGTGCTTGTCGTTCTCACCACGTTCCAGGCGGCTGCCCTCTGGGCCAGCATGCCCGCTGCCATCCAGGGAGCCGGGGAAACTCTCTGGGCTCCCACTGATCCCATTGGTGGGGAGGGGGGATGAGTTGGGGACCAGGGGGTCATGTGTAGCTTTGGAGACCTTGGGTGGCGGCCCCGGGTGGCCAAGGTCACGCTGGTCACCCCGGCGCTTGCGGCTGCCCAGCCTGTCCAGCCGCTGCCCAGGCAGCCTCTGGAGGTCGTTGCGGCTTTTCAGGTCGTGGATGCTCCTGGGCGGGCCAGCCGCCCCCACCTCTGGCCGGCAGTTGTGCGCGCCCCCGTTAGCAGAGCCAGTGGCCCCTGCCAGCCCCCGCAGTGCCACCTCATGCTGGTGCGCTGGCTCGATGAGCTTCTGCCAGCTCCGCAGCAGTTTCTTGGCCCGCTTGGCGAGCTCCTCGTTCTTGGTTTTCTTGCGGACGTCGTTGATGAGCTTCCCAAGCCGTGTTTCCTACAACCAGAAAGAGATGATGACATACTTTCAGGACAGGGGCTTCCCCACAAGCTGAGCCAGAAATGGTGGGAAGTGGCCCTGACTCTGAAATGATCCCATTCCCACTGAGCCCTAAACTGCCAGCTCCCCTGACACAAAACCTCTGGGAATTTCTGGCTTTTTGTGACAATATTCTCAACCCAGTCCCCAGACCTTAAGGGTCACAGGTGGCTTCTTGGCAGCGCTTCCGGTGCCAGGAGGCTGTGGACCGTCAGGTCACTGCAAGGACACTGCCAGAGAGGCTTTCTGGGTGAGAGGGTGCTGTGGCCAAGGCGACAGCACAGAGGGCCTGCTTCAAGTGGACGGCTGGGGATGGTGCCACTCACTGGAGCCTCCCCCAATCCCCTATGTGCCCACAAAGTGGGCATGGAAGATGGGATTAACACCAGTCCTGCAGTGCCCATGGGAGACCATGATCGTGGGGCACACGCTGTGAGGGCACACTGCCTCTCTTGGTCCTCTGAAGCGAAGAGACTGATGTTCCTAAGGACCTGGGTTGGAGCCGTCCCCTGCCCCCCCGTTCTGCCTTCCCCCATGCTGGGGTCTGGGATACTCACCTCAAGTGCCTCTTTGGTAATGGGGTATTTCTCCAGGCTGGAGATGACTTCCAGCACCGCCACCATGTTCCGGATCTGTGGAAATAAAAAGCCGTTTTTCAGGCCCCTGCCCTCTCTCCTGGGAGGTTGGGACACCCAGCCTCAGGCTGCTTGGGTCTCGCCCCAATCCCAGAGCAAGAGGAGCTGGGAGCACCGAAGCCTACACTCAGGTGGTCTCCTACCTGCTCCCTGGGCCAACCTGGCACCCAGTGCTCATCCCCACCTGCCGTCTGACCTCCTCTAGTGCATGGTGTGCGGTCTGCCCCAAGCCCTTACACGGTGCATACCCACCCACCTACCTGCTGAAACCCAGGACTCTTATGAGATCAGAGCTGCTCCTGATAGTTAAGACGACCTCTACTCTGCCATATGATGGGGGTAGGAGAGGGGACACTGAAGAATTCATCGAATAAAATGCACAAAGCTTAAAAGATCAATATATAGGCCAGGAGTGGAAGCTCATAACCTGTAATCTCAGCAGTTTGGGAGGCTGAGGCAGGCGGATCATGAGGTCAGGAGGTCGACACCAGCCTGGTCAACATAGTAAAACCCCGTTTCTACTAAAAATACAAAAATTAGTCAAGTGTGGTGGCACGTGCCTGTAGTCTCAGCTACTTGGGAGGCTGAGACAGGAGAATTGCTTGAACTCGGGAGGTGGAGGTTGCAGTGAGCCAAGATCGCGCCATTACACTCCAGCCTGGTGACAGAGCAAGACTCTATCTCAAAAACAAAAACAAAAACCCAAACCAAAAAAGATCAATACATAATAAACTAGTCAATTTGAATGTATTAACAAGAACTCTTCATCCAAAGACACCACAAAGAGAGCAGAAAGTCACAAAGTGGGAAAAGACATAGGCCACAGGCCCCAAGGAGCTGTATCTAGAACACGCAGAATGCCTGTGGAGCGATGCAGCTGACCAGGAGCCCAGTGTAGAGCGGCCACCAGACAGGAACAGGGACAGCGCAGTGAAATGTCAGGGCTAATGCTCCACTTCTCAGCTTTATCAATAGCCAGGAAAACGCATGCTGAACCCACAAATGGATACGTGACATGCACCCCACTGGCAAAGAATGGTATTTGACAATACTAGGTACTTCGGGGGGTACAGCCGACTTTGGGGACAGCTGGGCTTTGGCAGAGTGAAGCACGCACACATCACATGACCAGGGAATCCTTCCCTTTTAGGATCTTGCTAGGAGCTGCACCTTCTTCTAAGTACTTGCCACACATTACTAACTCATTTAATTGTTAGAGCAAGAATTCCTACAGCTCAACCACCACCTCCAGCAGCTACAGGTTTGTGGTGAGCTGGCTGGCGGGTGGAGGCCCAGGGGCCCTAGGGAAACCACAGTGAGATTACACAACTACCCCCCAGAACATGATGGAGGAGTAAAGTGGGCACACGACATGAATTAAACAGCAAAAAAAAGGCACACAAGGAAATGGCCATCTCTGACCCAGCCACTATAGTGTTTCCTTGCATTTTTTCCAAAAATATCCCTTGTGTATACAGGTGTATATATCTACACTTACCACACATTTCAAAACCAAACTGACCGTGGTTCTCAGCTTTGCCTTTTCTGTCTTAACATCAGAAATGTCTGGCTCCAAACAGAGCCCCTCATTTGGCTCACCATGCCTTCCAGAGCGGGGAAAAGGCCTGACTTGAATGTTGGGGAACACTTAGGCACTTTCCATTTGCCATTACAAAACAAGGCTGCAACTGACAACAGTGACAGACTTGACTCTGGGCTAGTGGAGGAGCTTGGGTTCCACATCTGTGCAGGGTGGTCACCTCATACCCAGGGAGGCCGCTCCATTCCATTCCCACCAGGCCACATCACTGCCAAGACTGCGTGGCATGAGTTTCTGTAACACATGATCATAAACTTGGCATCTTACACAGCCACATTTATCATCTCAGGCTCTAGGGCTCAGAAGTCAGGTCTAGGTCTCACTGGGCTGGGATCCTCACTTCCTGTTCCTTCAGATGTTAGCAGAGTTCAGCTGTTTACACTGCAGCAATGAGGCACCTGTTTTCTTGCTGGTTGCCATCCAGCGGCCATTCCCAGCTTCTGGAGGGCACTGCATCCCTCAGCTCACAGCCCCTCCCTCTATGCTCAAAGCCAGCTGCAGGCCGAGTCCTTACCCGGCATCTCTCTGGCTCAGCCGGGATAGGTGCCATCTCTAAGAACTCCCTGACTAGGTAGGGCTGGCCCAGATCTTGGGTCATCTCCCCATCTCCAGGCTCTTCCTTTAGTTTCATCTGTCATGTATGGTACGACATGCCCAGGCTCCAGGACTAGAACATGCACGTCCTTGAGGGCTGTTAATTGTGCTGGCCTCATGGATTCTGGCTTTTCTGCCCCACTTCCAGCGCAAGGCAGCCACTGCCCCTCCCTCCCCGTGTTGTCTCCTCTGGGTGTAAAGTTGCAGAGTGGCTACAGAGCTCCCACAAAGCTACCCCTCTGCCAATGGGCCCATTTACTCCTTGGCAACAACGGCCTTGCCTTGCAGTGTTCTCGTTCAGGGCTCCAAATGACCCTGAAAGCCCTACTTCCAGCTGCGTCAAGGTGGGGATGGGGGTGGGCGATGATCTGAGGAGATGCAGTCCTGTCCTCACTCGTTGTGCGATGGGCAGGGATTCAGTGAAGGAGAGGACTGCACAGGGAGGAGGCCAGTCCCAAACTGACAGCAAGGCCAGCCGCTCCTGGGCCAAGCACTCCAGCACCGACTCAGTCCCTGGGCTTGCCACATGGCTTCACCTCCACCCTGGTGACCTCACCCTGGTATATTTGGAGCTCTGGTTCGCCACATACTCCTGAACCAGCAGTCCTGCAGAACAGAACACTGCCCAGGCCCAGCTAGCCTGGTGGCACAAAGTGTCCTTGTCCTTGGGCAGACACCATCCTGCTGCCAGACAGGAGGGAGGAGGCAGAACACCTGGGCAACCCCAGGGTCTGGCACTGGGCTGGTGCCCTAGAAATCACTGCTGAACCAACAGCCAGCCCCAAGAGCCTCCTGGAAGCTGCATGGGAGCTGGGGACACGAGGTGAAGGTCTGAGGGCCCTGTGACTTGGAGCTGCCTTATGAGCCATACTTAAGCGTGTGCACAGAGGCCTTCAGCCTCCAGGAGGCCCTTGGGCTTTCAGCCCCAAGGGAAATGCTGCCTCCTTGGCAGTCCTCTTTCTGCCCCCAGCGTGTGAGCTGCTCGCCTGAGGAGTAGAGGAGCCCATTTGCTGTACCTGTAAGGTGCAAGAAACCCACAGTCCTACGCCGTCAACAGGTGAACTCTGCCAACACCTGAGGGGGCAGGAAATGGATCCCCCAGAGAGGAGCACATCCTGCTGCTGCCTGGATCCCAGCCCGATGAGCCTGGACCTGACTTCTGAGCCCTAGAGCCTGAGATGATAAATGTGTGTTGTGTAAGACAGAGAGAGGGTAAGTGCCCAATGTGGCCACTCCCTGGAGCCAGCAGAAGGTGGTCAGTGATGTCAGCAGAGCAAGGATGGGGTCGAGGTGAGGCTGCCCTGCCCTGCAACCTCTTGGGCCTTGATGTCAAGCAGTCTGAGCACTAGGTGGAGAGTGCCACCTGGGCATTCCAGACACAGTCGGGCCTCCCAAGCCCAGGAGGCAGATGCTGAGCAACGCAGCAAGGATTCCCTGCAAAGGGCCTGGCCCCAACTCCTTGCCCCGAGCCCAGGCACACTGAGAGAGAAGGCCCCACAAAGCCTCTTTACAGATGGCCACAGTCTGTCCCAAAGAACACTTAGCACCCAACTGGAGCAAAATGTGAGCTTGCTCCTGGCCTTGGGGACCCTGCCTTAACAACTAACTCTCTTCCACCCTGGAGTGGCAGGCCTCCCACCCTTGCTGGGGGTGCCCTGTGGGTGGCAGACACACTAGGACTCGGATGTGGCTGAGGAGAGCCTCCTGCTCAGGCTCCAGGCCTGCTAAGTCCAGCATGAACCCTGGGGGCAGGCCACAGGGGTGGGCAGCACCCAAGGTGGCCTCCCAGGGAGGTCAAAAAAGGAGGAGGCAGAACGAGCTGTGTCCATCTGGGCTGGAGGCTGACCTCCAGACTGGAAAGCAGAAAAGTGCTGGAGAAGGATAGGCAGGGAGCTGTCCAGACAGCACCAAAGGCCTGCAGCAGCAGGGAGGGGCCAGGATGAGGACACTGGGAAGAAAAACAGACCCAAAAGACCCAAGGTAGCTCCTTCACAACCTGTCTTCTATCCACCTTAGCCACTGCCCCCACAGGCCACCTGCCTTTGCCCTGTTTGTGGGATGCCCTTGGCACCTATCCGTCCGTCTGGGGAAGTACACTAGATCCTAATCCCAGCGTAGACACAGTTTGACTCCACATGGGGAGCCACTCCAGGCGATGCCCTCAAAGGATGGCTTTAGGGCAGCTCTTCGGGCTCGCCAGGGCCACATCTGTGGCCCACAGGCTAATTGCAGTGTCTTGCTGTCAGGAATAACCTGGCACATTGGAGGCCCCCTCCTCCTTTGGATTCTCCCTTGGGATTAGTTCCCAGTCCCAAAAAAACCTCTCAAAACACCTGCCAAGTGGCTTTCCCAAAAGGGCAGGAATCCCAGCGGGAACTGCACTTCTCCACTCTCACTTCTCCACTACGGACTCCTCAATAGATGCAGGTGAGTCTGCACTTCCTTAACCGTCATGAATACAAGTGCTGCCTTCCCTTTCTACCAACACTGACTGCTATGCCCACTTAATCTTCTTGTTTGGCCTCCTCATTGCTGCAGGAAGTGCCTGGGAAGGGCGAAGGTGTCAGGTAGGGGCGGGGGGTGCACCTCCATGCAGCTACTAGAAAGGCAGGGGTAAATGCAGCAGAGAGCACTCAAGAAGCAGGTGGGACCTCCCTGAGGTGCCTGTTCCAAAGGCATGCCGGCCAGGAAGTTAGCAGGTAGGACCAGGTGTGGCACAGGCATACATGCAGGTCCAGCCTAGCCGCCTGGGACAGGAGTGTTGATGGAACTGACTTCACTGTCACACCGAACACGTTCAGATCTTAGAATGGAGATCCATGAGGCATGATCAGGTACACATGGGCCAACGGGAATGTGAATGTCAATCTCAGCTTTCTGAAATCTCAGAGAAACCAAGTGGGGAGGCCTGGTCTCAGGCCATGGGCATCACAGCTAGCACAGATACCGAGAAAGAATGGTTTGCATCCAGGCAGAGAGAGAACCAGGGGCCACCAGCACAGCCTTCAGCACACAGGCACCCACACTTCGGGGATGCCCCGGGAACACATGCATGGGGGCGTGGATGGGACAACTTCTCGCTCAAGACCACAGGAGGTCTGCATGTCCCAGGGCTCTTCTGTGGCCATCCTCCCACATGAGAACTAAGAAAGGCTTCCAGAAAGGCTGGCATCTTTTTCTCTGAGTGCCCCATAGCCTGTGCTAAGCCACAATTCCTGCCAGCCTAACTGGTGACATGTGCTGTTCTGCTCACAGGAAATGTGAAGAAGGTGGGGCTGGATATGCACAGAAACAGCCTGAGGGAGGGGCTGAAACCCCTCAGAAGCAGGCTGGGTCAGGCGCCTGGAGCTGCGTTGCGTGAGCATGTAACACCTCATTCTCCCACACCCCGGAAGCAGTGGGGAACCCTGTGTGTGACTTCACAGCACGCCATGCTCCGTGATTAAATATCCACCACAAATCCTCCACGTTCCTGAAAAATGATACAGTCTGAAATTTGCTACAGAATCACCCCCTAGGGTGAGTGACAGGAGGGGAAAGGTGAAACAAAGTCACATGGCTGTAAGCAGCCATCTACTGAAGCAGGATGGTTACCTTTCTCTACTTTTATGCTTGAAATCTGTCACAAATAAAGATGAGAAAATACGTCTATTTCCTAGCATTTGTGTGGGAGAGTTCACTGATCTAGAAGGACTGGCAGCCATCTAAAGGGGAAGTGAGCAAATACCTGTTCCCAGCTCCTCATAGTGGCTTCATGGTCTACTGTCTGGCCCCTGAGTAAGGCAGCAAGGGCGAGGGGCTGGGTAGGATGCCACCTCCCTCCATGTGAGCCTGTCTCAAGCTTCCTGAGTCGAACTGCACAACACCATCTATCTGGTGAGACCCCAGTAGCCCCTCACCAAACTCCCCCTACCCTGGTGCTGGGCTGCTGCTTAACAGACCCTGTGCAGAAACAGCAGGCAGCCCTGGGGCTGGAGAGGGGAGCTCTGAGTGCCCATGCCAGCTGTCCACATCGGTCCAACTCTCAGGTGGCCTCACGCCTCTCTTCTAAAGGAAGCCACAGGCCGAACCAGGGGCACGCGCTAGGTTGACAGTTCCTTTCTGCAGGGAGAGGCCTGACCTGCACCAGGAGGGAGCCCAGGACAACCATCACCACAGAAAGGACAGGCCCTCAAGTGGCCCAGACCAGGAGGGAGGAGTTGGCAAAGTGGGGTGGGGACTAGGTCACTCTGTCCCGGAAGGGGAGAAACATAACAATGAGCCAACAGTAACCCAGGGAAAGGAGAGCCATCACTCCACACCCTGCCCAGCCCCAGTCAGCACCACCTCCTGCCCAATCTACATCGTATAGTCTGTATAGCTCTGGGCAAGCTGAGCCATAGGACATGGTCGCTCAGAACTAACTTTCCAGGTTTCCCCCAAAGGCCAGCCGGTAGCACTCTTCTGTGGCCCCTGTGAAACCGTCACACCTCTGATCTCTAGACTGTCTTCCAAAAAACCTACCTACGACAGGGCATGTGGAGTCACCTTTCCAACCAAACCTGTTGGCAAATATTTTAATTGGGCCTTGGCATGTGTCCGAGTTTTTCTTCTGTGAAGATCACTGGATCTGAGTGCAAAGCTGGGGCCTGCTCAGTGGAGTGGACCCGCTACCGACCAGCCTCTTCCTCGCTTTATTACAGGGGTGTGTAGGTAAAACCCGGCCCTGAGTAATTACCGCAGGGGATTTCCAGCCCCGGTCTGAAACAAGGAACTGAGACTGAGTTTGGAGTCCAAGTGGCCCCCCTTGGCTTGCCTCCCCATTTTCTCCATATCTGAAATGTTCCTACCCTGCCTGAGATCCCCAGCCTCTTGGGATGGCAGCTATGGTGGCAAAGGGGAAACTGTGTGCTGCCCAAGGTCTGACAAACCAACAGACCCAAGGGTGCTGAGCCTGGGCAGGCCCAACCAGGCACAACTCGCACAGGGCCACCACTGGTGGGTTACCCTGGGGCCAAGTTCTAGATTTCATCCTCACGGGCCTGCTCTACAGATGAGGCAACTGATGGCCAGGAAGGTAATGGAGGTCCTGGGTAGACTCGAAGGTGGTGAAACCTGGCTTTCCACTAGCCTGGCGTGGCTGCCCAACACATAGGGCCCATCTGGTGCTTTGACTAAGTGGAGTGAAGGGTACCAGGTGCCACCAGGCTGCAGTGATGTCAGCACTCTGCAAAGACTCTCCTGACTGCCCCTGCCCTGAAATGTACAGGTTACAAACAGTTCCTTGAACCCCCATGGGGCCACCTCCATGCATGGGCCACCACAGCAAGGCTTCAGATGGCACTGGAGCCCGCTCCCCAACGGGCTGGCCCCAGGAACAGTGCACATGGAACACAGACTGCAGTAGCTCTGCACTCCCCCTGCCTCAGTGTCTGTCCACATCACCCTGGACAGTGGGCAGCACTGCCCTGGCAGCCTACGGGCCTACAACCGTGCCCCACAGCCCACATAACTTTCTCCTTGGGCTCTAAACAGCCCCTGCTGAGGCCTCAGTGGCAAAACACCTGTAAAAACTGGTTCACTTAAAAACCGACAATGGGGAACTCGTCATTTTTTTTTAAATTTTGTTTTATTTTAAAATGCAGAATGGTCTAGACAGTAATTTACAAAAACCACTTAAGCTCAAAGACTGAGGAAGTGTTCATCAGCAAGCAAGCTGTCCTTCCAAACCCAAACACGCCACAGATGGCACCCAGAAGCAGACAGTCTGCCTTCAATGTGCTAAGCATTCTAATGTCGTCCACGGCTGAGTCACCTCGCCCACCCCACAACCCCCAACACACAGTCGTGTCTGCTGAGGACACACGGGTGAATCAGACGGGGCTTTGCCAGGAGAGTACGTATCTGTGATTTGGTTCCCACCACACCAGGTCTTCCTGCTTCTGCATGTGTTCCCAGGCAGCTGGGACTCAAACTACCTCTGGTGCCAGTCAGTGCAAGAGGCGGCGCCTGTCTGCCCCCCGAGACCCCAGCTCTGCCCTCCTTCTCAACTCTGGAAAGCACATCCCTGAAGAGCGTGCTGCTGTGCTCACCCTCGGGCGGGCGCCACCCTGCATTCTCCACTCAGCCTCGTGGGGCTGGTGCAGGTCCACCAGGTTCCACCTGTGACAACACCTTCCTCTAAGGGAACCTCATGGGAGCCTCAAACCCCAGGGGCAAAGTCTCAAATTCACAGCTCTCAGAGGAAAAATGACACTGGGGGACCAATGACGGGAGGGTGTATGTTGAGCCACAGCCACCAAGCTCACCACTTGAAAAGCATTTCCTGCTGTGGCCCTCCTGCTGCCCGCAGGAGCAGCCGGCCACCTGAGTGGTGTGTCATGTCCACGTGGCCTTCCCTGTCCTGCAGCCACAGCTCCTGCAAAGCTTGGGCAAGTATGCAATCACACGCGGCAACTGGGCCCAGGGGACAGAAAATGCCACCTGGGAGTAGGCAGCATGCGGAGCCCTGACTGAATCCCACAAGCAGCTCAGAAAGAGGAAGCCCAGCTCAGAAAGGGCTTGGGGCAGCAGTGGGAGCTCTATCAGTAAGCATGGCTGACCTCTACATTGAGAGAAACCTGCAGACCCAGCTGGGAGGCAGGCAGTGCTGCTGTCCACATCCACTGTCCCCAAAGCGTCTTTCCCTCCCACTTTGTTTCAGCAGCTCTTCCCAACCAAACTACCAACCTAGACTCTCCTGACCTCTGCTTCAGGTCTGCAGAACTTACAGTTCTTACTGCCATTCGGCACTTTGTGAAGGCACAAGAGCTCTCAGTCCTCATCTGTAAATTGATTTGTTGCCACGCAGATACAACTGGAGTGCTGAGAAGCCAAGCGGAGTCCTCGGTGGGGGCTTCTCCCTCCCAGCCTCTCTCTTCTAGGAGCAGCCAGTAAGAATGCCAGCCACAGAAGACTGGAAATGACCCAACATCCGTGGGGGAAACACACACACAGTGCTTGGCCCATCCATGTTCCACCAAAGACAGAGCCCAAACAAGAACAAGCCGGCTTTTCAGGAATCAACAGAGAACAACCTTCAGGAGACTGCCAAGCACAGAGAAGCACACGACAGCGCACCCTATGCCGCCGCCTGGAAGAACCTAGCTGAGGCTGGGCAGACAAGGACCTGATGACAGTGGAGCCGTGCACAGCTGTAGCAGGGGACCACACCTAGCCTCCAGAGCTGACGCAAGCAAGACCTATCTCTGGCCTGAGCACAGTTCCTCCTCTGAGAGCCTAAGAAAACCACGAGATGGTGTCTGCAGATCATGAATGGTGTGCTGGGGACCACGCCCCCAAGGGCCAGGCCACCAGGGCCCACACACTGCACTTTCTGCTTGCTGGGCTGCTCTGTAGTCTATAGGATCCGTTCAGGCAGGGCAGTGCCCAGCATGGCACCTGGAGGCAGCCTCAGAGGCCCCATTGAGAGAGGAAGCCAAAGGACAGCAGCCCCTTCACCTGCTGGCCCAAGTGGGTTGCTATAGAATCCTGAGAACTAGCAATATCCTAGAATTCCCCGAGAAAACTCACCAAATGCTCTCTGAGCACTGACTGCACGCAGGTACTCCATCAAACTCCGGGCCCACTGGATGCTGGGAGAGGGTGTTGGGATCCCTGTGTACCGGCCCCGAGGAGTAGACAGAGACAGCCAAGGTCAAGAACAGAAGCAACAGATAAAATGCCACCACGGAGGCCCTCACCCAGGATGCCAGGAAACCCAGGGAGGACTATACTTGGCTCAGGTCCAGGGCTACCCCTTCCCCATAGCTCCAGGTCTCTGTGTGGAGCTGAAGGGACCGGAGTGGGAACAGGGGGCTTCTCAGTGGGTACTCCTGCAATAGGGCCCACCATGGAGAGAACCAAGGACAGTGTCACCCATGAAACAGGCTGGTGACTGTGGATCCCACGTTAACCACCATTTAAGGATGGATACTCATGCTATGACCCAGCAGTTCCACTCAGGGCAGCGCCAACAGAAATACACTCAGAGCAGTTGTATTCAGAACAGCCCCAACAGCCCACAGAACCACCAACAGAACGCCAAATAAATAAATCATGGTCTGTCCATTCAATGTTGAACAAACTGCTGCTACATATGACCTTAAAGACATCTCAAAACAATGTCAAGTCAAAGAGCCAGACACAAGAAAACTTTTTTTTGTCCTGGACTAAAAGGTCAAAAGCAGGCAACACTTCTGGATGGAGAGAGTGGTCAGGGTAGTGGCAGGCAAGAGTGACTAGGAGAGGATGTTGAGAATGGCTTCAGGGGAAAGGCTCTGTTCCTTGGCCTAAGTGGACTGGGCTTCTCAGGTGTGTTCATAAATATTCATTCAACTGTAAAACTTAGAATTTGTACACTTCTCTAGACGTATACTGTATTTTTAAAGGTTAAAAATAACCTGTGTGTGAATTCCATGATCTTAGAGGCCAGCACATCCTATAGAAGACATAGCTGCCAGGGTTGTGGAGGAGGGGGAGGTGTTGGCAAAGCAGCCCCTCAACTCCCCTTGGCCCAGACCCTCTGAGAGCCCCATAGAACGAGGTCTGAAAACAGCTTCAACACGAGCCCTGGCCATCTCCATGGCACACAGTGATGCAATGTGCACTGCACTTCACAGCTCACT